ATCGGGGGACTACGACGAGTTTGGCCTGATCGGAGCTCCAAGTGGGTAGGGGGGAGGGGCTAGAGCCGGGGCTGAAGATAGAGGCATGCGTCGGGTCATGCTAGACTTTGCCTGCCTTCCCAGAAAGGTGGGACCCATGTCATGGTCTTCAAACTCTTTTTAAATGGGAGAAGCCTTCGGTCAAAACGTTTTTAGCCATCACCCCAATTGTAAGACAGATAAAAGTGAAGCAGCTGTGGTTAGATTGGATGTGAGAACATTAGCACTTCTGCTCTTGGTCTCATTTTCACCCTCCCATGTCACCCTGGACACAACTCAAACACAGTCTGAAAATCATATACAGCAAATGACACTGATGCAGGTGTGGCATTGGAGGGTTTTACAGGCAATGCCACAATTCCCTGGTTTCCAACTTCATTTTGAAGGTGAAGGGTACGGAAATGCTTGGGGCCTAGTAGGTACTCAGTGTGTTTGGGTGGGAGGATGGGGGTGGGAAGGGGTTTGTGGCCAAGGGTACGAGTTCCATTGTAGACAGAATAGGTTAAAAGTACTTTCAAAAGGCCCCTGGCTGGCTCAGTTGGTAGAGCACATGACTCGATCTCAGGGTCGTGAGTTCAAGCCCGTATTGAGCATGGAGCCTACTTAAAAAAAACAAAACAAAACAAAACAAAAATCAACTCCTTTATCATGGGGCGCCTGGGTAGCTCAGTCAGTTAAGCTCTTGATCTCAGCTCAGGTCTTGATCTTAGTGTCGTGAATTCAAGCCCCGAGTTGGGCTCCAGATGGAACCTACTTAAAAAAAAAAAAAAAAAGTATTTTCAGAACATCCTCCTGGAGAGACCTAGTAGGCACCTGAAAACATGGGTGGGCCCTGGATGAATGCTCTAGATAAATATTTGGAAGTGTTGATGTATCAGTAAGAGCTGAAGTCGTGGACTTCCATACAATTGCCTAGAATCGAGCACAACAGGAAGAAAAAGTAGGCAGATCCCTGGAGACCAAGGGGCAGGTGGAGAAGCCAGGGAAGGGGGTTGAGAGAGATGGAGGGGAGGAAGCAGGCAAAGGCAGCATCTCAGAAGCCAGGTAAAGAAAAAAATAAACATAAGCTTAAACATGTAATCGGTATTTAATAGTTGGTTGCCTGGAAATGAAACAGGAATAAAGGCATTTCACCGGCATAGCGTATTCCTTTTAAAAGAAATCTGAAGCATACTTATTTTTTCCAGAAGCACACACCCTTTAATATATGAGTATAGATTAGTGTAGCAAAATAACAACAACTGAGCTCACGATGTAAACAATATCATTGTTGTTTAGTGGAACTACTCCTCTCTCCTCTCCAGGGATAAATGAATTCTCGCAAATTTCTGCCCATCAGTCAAAATTTTACGTTCAATTAAGTGTTCATTCTGAGTTTAAGATGATTCTAGGACTTCAAATGCCTAGAAAGTTGGGCTTTGGTAAATTGAAAGTAATTTCTCTAAAGTGATGGGCTAATTTGAAATCTATATCTCTTTTTCTTGTTTTGATTTTTGCAGCCTAAATTGTAAGGCATATTCCTCTGATTGTACCAGTGTCCTGCTCCACTGGGGACAGGGGAATTCTAAAATCATTCCTTATGGGGTGGATGCTGGCACTCAGCAGCTGTTTATTGAATGAATGGATGATGTACTGTTGTCCCTCCTAAATACTGATTCACACCTCAAAGGTGTCTGTCCGTATTCAATAAAGTGAAAAAGAAAGCATTTTAAAACTCAAAACTGAGTAATTAGAGATTAAAACTACTGCTCACCCTTTCTCTTTGTTGTGGGCACAGTATTGTGCACAGAAGGCTGCCCTCTGAAATCCCATCAGAGCTACGGACTCTGTAAAAGCTTCCTGGGGAAGATCATTTTTCAAGAATAAGCAATAGAATGTGGCCTTCGAATTCCCTAAGACTTGCATTTCTCAGATTGCTCAACATCTGGATTTCGTTTATTCTCTCGACAAGTATTGACTGAGAGTCTACTATATGCTAGGCACTGAGAAAATGCAGTGAATAAAACATTAGAAGATCCCGTTGTCATGAGCGTCCGTTCTAGCCGAAGGTGACTGGCAGTAACAAACAGGGATATAATGTGTGTTAGCGGTGATGAGCGCTAAGAACAAAAGTGAAGGGGGGAGGGGAGGGGAGGGTGATGGGGAAGCAGCTGCTGTTCTAGAGGGTGGTTAGGGAAGGACAGATAAGCTGGGACCCAGAGAGGGAGAGATGTCTGGGCAGAGAGGAATGCCATATGCTTAGCTGGGTCCCCCTACAGCTCACCCTGACCAGCAAGGGGTGGGGGTGGGGAGCATGTGCTTATAAATGTAAACACCAACCCAGCCAAGAGCCCTGTAGCCCTGTAAACATTATTATATGTAGCTCAGGTAATAACTGTTAAAAATCAACTCTTCAGGGGCTCCGGGCTGGCGCGGTTGATGGAGCATGCGACTCTTGATATCAGGGTTGTAAGTTCAAGCCCCACGATGGTTGTAGAGATTACTTTAAAAAATAAATAAATAAAATCTTGAAAAAAAAAAATCAACTCTTCAATTTTAACTGTGAGACAATTTTTGCAGGTGACTTGAAAATAAAGCAACTTCCGGGGCGCCTGGGTGGCTCAGTCGGTTGAGCGGCCGACTTCGGCTCAGGTCATGATCTCACCGTCCGTGAGTTCAAGCCCCGCGTCGGGTTCTGTGCTGACAGCTCGGAGCCTGGAGCCTGTTTCGGATTCTGTGTCTCCTTCTCTCTGACCACCCCCCCACCCCCACCCCGTTCATGCTCTGTCTCTCTCTGTCTCAAAAATAAATAAACGTTAAAAAATTTTTTTTAAAAAAGGAAAATAAAGCAACTTCCATTATTCACAGATCCAGACTGGCAACCAGCTCTTAGAAATGACTAAAATGACCCACTAGTATTCCTTTTTTTTTTTTTTTTTTTTTTTTTTTTTTTTATGGAGACTTTTGCTCCCCTGCCGAGACCATGTATTATATCCAGTTTCACATCAAAATGAATTTTTGCTGCTAAGTTTGAAAAACGCTGAAAATAGCGTAATATTGGAAAAGCTGACAGGACCTGAAGTGTGGTGGCGTGACTGGTGCTGATATAATTATGTGCCTGAGTGTGCACATGTCTGTGTAAACACAGTATGAAAACACACTTGATGTCCAGGACACTATATCAGTGTATTTTCTTGCAGGTGGATGAGGGAAAGAGAGGGAGAAAGAACTGATAGAATCCCTCTGGCACTGTTAAGTGGTGTAGATGTCTCTAGTCTTACATTGACATAACCTTGACTTTCAGATTATTTTCACATTCGTCATCTCATTCGATCCTCACAACTTACTGGAGTTGGGGCAGGGGCGGGGGTTGCGGCTTCGTTCTTCCCGTTTGGTGAGTGAGAAACCTTGGTGGGTCGGCTGGGATGACTGAGGAGACTGGATTACGTCATCCCCAAGGTCCCTTCTTGTTCAACAGTTCTACGGCTTTTTTTTTTTTTTCCTTCTTCTAATTTTCCTGAGGTGACAGCTGTGTCATGGTCGAGACTCTTAAGCCCAGAACGTTTTCTGCCACGCAATTCCTCCTCGTCTTCTTCAAGGCCTTCACTGCATGTTTAATCATGTGTGAAATGTAATGTCTACCACACAAGGTCATTGAGGGTACCGTTGATGGGATGGAAGGGAAGGTTGGTGAAGCACCAAACACACTGGTAGCTATTATTATTATTATCGCCATCGCTATTACTAATAAGGAGGCAGTGTAGTGTCGTGGAGCGAGCATCAGCCCTGGAGTCTGGTAAATTTCCAGTCTTTTGCCGGTTGTGTCATCTTGGCCAATTATTCAACCATTGGGAGCATGCTGTAAAAATGGAGCTGATAACACCTCCATTACCGGGTGGCGTGAAGAGCAAATGAGGCCAATGGAGCGCCTATCCCAGACGCTCCATAAATAGGTGGCAGTAATAAATGAGAAACCACCTTTCATAAGAAATATTTTCATGACCCCCTCAAAACCTGAAGAAGCATTTCACAGAGGTGAAGTATAACCTTGAAGTTAACAGAAGCGTACGGTCATCTTTTGAACGAAAAGAAAGGATTTGGAAGTTGAGCTCTTCTGTGCACGTCTCAGAGGGCGCGGAAAAGTCCGCTTGCAGCCAAGGGTCGGCAAGCGGACATCGTGGAGTCTCATGTCCAATGGCCTTCTGAAATCCAGTGTAGATTTTACTCAAGTCCCTCCATCCTTTCCACGGCAACAAGATCATGAGGTTGTGCAGTTTATTTGGAAAAGCCCGGCGACCCTCATTATACCACTTTCTTTGGAAAGCAATCATTTGAGTACCGCAAGGAGCTGCTTTGCTCTAATGATGACTATCATGAAGGATTCGATGAAGTTGGAAACCAAGATCTGGTAGCCTTGTCTCTGACAGCATGGTCCCGGAGAAGGCTGGTGGTAGCAAAGAGCAAAATTCTCCAATAGAGATTGCACTTAGCTGTCCCTGTGGAGAATTTCTTGGAACTGAGTTCTCAGGGCACAGTAATAAACTAACGTCCCTAGGCGTCCGTTGCCACACACACTGGAGCTGTGTTGTGGACAAGCTGGTAGCTGCTAAGGAGTCGCAAGGTGGGTAGCACTGCCGTGGACCAGTTACTCTAACATCTAGTTGATGGTTTGAACCACTGGACCCAAGAGAGGTGTGTGTCGTACAGAATACCGACTCTGGGCCACATTTTATTTATCAGATGCGTTAGTTGAAAAGGGAAAGACAGCAACATTTGAATGCGAAATACACGTATTTTTTCTTGCTCGATGTATATCTGTCCTCGAAATTATTCTCGCTGTGAATGCCCATCCTGTGTGGATGTCTCCAAGAACAACTGTGTTTTCTACCTGAGAGCAGTACGTTAAATGCTTTACCCAATGTTTGTTGTGCTTGGTTGCCTTCCAGGTTTAAAATGTGTGAATTTCCTTTTTAATGTTCTAGGGGAAAGCAATGGTATTCGCCCCACGCCGAGGGAATACTTTAAACCAGTTTTGCAATCTAGCTGAAAAAGCTGATTTCTCTATCCAAAGACATGAAAATTATGATGAACACATTTCAAACTTCCACTCCAAGGTTAGTTTTCTGCTTATGTTAGATAACACTTTAATCCGCATTGCATTTTGAAGAGATCATGGTCTTTTTGGCAGGTAACCTAAATATTTGATTAAAGCACTCCTTAGGTGTGCTGCTTCTGAACAGCTATTTGTATCTGATTATTTTTGTGTGGTAAAGCCATCTTTTATCTTTGCATGTCTAGAAGGATTTTACAGAAACCATTCCTGTTTACTCCTTTCTCTGAAACAAACTAATCTTTTCATTCATAATGGACTAATTTGTAGGATGCAGGGGAGGTGGCAGAGAATGAATGATAAACAAGCATTTATATTTTAATGAAAAACCTTCGGCTTTTAAGTAGGTTAAATGCTCAGCTGCACTGAAATAAATAGAAGGTGAATGTCTAATTGTATCATGTTGGACTGTAAATCTTTATCTCTGCTTGCTTTATGGCTGGGTCAGTTGGCAGTTTGAGACTGTTAAATCTCATACAGAATTTCACAGTTGTGAGGTTATATGTCAGATCGAGGAGCTACAAGATTTAGGTCAAAAGCACTTATCTGAGAGTGATTTCTAAGCTTGCTTACATAAAGCAATGTTATCAGCCTTTTTATTATTTATAAGTATAGAGCAGTATAGGACACTGAGAGGCGAGCGTTCCACTGAAAACTTTTTAGGAATCTCACCTTTGCTAATACATATCACACTTGCTAGTCTAACATGTATTACTTCTGTAATTTTGTGCCTTACAGAAATCTCCCTTCTCTGAGCTAGTCTGACCTTGGCAAGAGACTTTGAACTTGTCATGATTTTGCAAGTTGTGAACGCAGAAAAGTTAAGCCCTGACCTTAATTTTCTCCTGAGAAAATGGGAAGAGCATTCTTTATTATCCAGGACTATGATATAATGTCGAAGTATGTTAACTTTTGAAAAATTATATGCAAAGTGGATCTGATCTTCAGGCACGAGGAAGAAAATCCTTACTCTGTGGAGATGGGTTCACTCTTTTGGGTGTCTAAGGTTTCATTTAGCCCCCCTGGGGGTGGGGGTGGGGGAGGAAACAACCATGCTTTGTGAACTGAAAGGGTTAAATCACCTCCTCTGCCTGGTGGGACTGCCCTTTGCTTACAGTCAGAAAATAAAAAGAGAATGGCGTGTTATTCAAATCTGACCTGCTTCTCCAGAATGAGATTTTTCCCTTTTGCAACCCCTCCCCAGAATAAAAGGAAAGCCTCTGAGGGCTTTACCGGGTAGGGGAAGGGTCTCTCCTCTACCCAAAGGGACAAAAACAGCCTTCTCTCCTGGATCGGGCTAGAGCTACAGGGATCAGCCTATGGCTGCTTAAATGCCTTGTCATTCACCTTCCCCCTAGAACAACAAATGCTTTCAGTTTCTCAGTCACAGATCAGGAGAGCAAAGGCAAGGGTTTGTCCACCAGCGGAGACGGTCAGCGTTGTGCCTGATACCCTCCGTGTCCTCCCTGCAAGATTGGAAGTGTGCTGGGCCACGTGAGTCCTTCGTGGCCACGTCTCCTTTGTCTAGAACTTTAGATTGTCAGCGGCTAGCGGACAGCAGCTGCCTCTATTTTCAATGCTGTACACTACCCTGCTAAGCATAGCACGGTCCATAAATCGCTAGACACGCCTCTTGTATTTATATTGTGTCACGTACCCACAGGTAGGTAGTACTCCGTAAATAACCATGGACTGATTGGTCCCACGGAAGTAAATTTCCACAAATAACCAGGCGGCCTTAGTTTTCATCTCTTCATGATTGCTCAAAAGTTAAAACTCTCCACTTTGCTGACCCTGGGCTAAGAAACAGTTTCCCTCCGCCTCAGCTTATGAGGAGTTAAGAGTTGCGTGTGGCTCTCAGCAAGTGGAGCCGCCAGGGGAATATTCTGCAGGGTTGGGGCGCCCCTGACTACGCGGTACCAACGCGTACCCAAGATGTGTATTTTTTAAGGATGGTGGGG